CTTTACATTGTAATGCTTTTGACAATTCATTTGAAATCTCCAAAATCTTTTTCATAAGATGTAGATTAATTGCAAATTCAAATTTATTCATCAACTCAAATGAAATACAAGCATCACTTCTTGTTCCTGTACTTGTAGTATCAGTAGCAATAATCTCAACAATGTCGACTATGGTTGAAAACATGAAAATCAAGTTAATTAAACACTATTGTGAAATCCCCAGCATGTATCACCAAAGACGACCTAGAGTAGTTTCTTGATTGAGACCACGTTCCCTTGATAATACACCGATACTGAGTGATTCAAGAACTTTCAACTTTTGGTTCTCTCGAATAAGATCACTCTGTTTAGCCGATCCACCAACAACACTCACCAATTTGTGTACTGTAGTGAAGAAAGTTTCAATTTTCGGATGATTCTGTGCAACAACTATAAGAGTTAATTGAAGTTGATGAGCAAAGCAATGAATATAACATAAAATAAGTGTTTTGAGGCCATNTGAAGAAAGTTTCAATTTTCGGATATTTCTATGCCACAACTATAAGAGTTAATTGAAGTTGATGAGCAAAGCAATGAATATAACATAAAATAAGTGTTTTGAGGCCATTATACTCACATTGCATGTTAGTAGCTCTATCATATCATTGAGCTCTCAAATTAGATATACTTAAGCTATGCATTGAAAGTAATTGATCAATTGCAGTCTTAAGTGAGGTAACTGTGGTACTGGAAACATGATGGACACCAACAAAATGTTTCAATACATGTCCATTCTTTACACAACGAATGACAACAGACATTTGCTCCTTAACTAAAATATCTCGAGATTCATCAACTAAAATTGAAAAGAAACTATCGCGAACATCTTCCATAACCACACTTACACATTCAGAAGCAATAGCACTCACAATATTTTTTGCACTCGTGGTGATGTTAATTTGAATTCTTCGGTGCATTCGCCAAAGCAACGACCTTAATCTTAGCATTATGATCACACAACCAATGCAATAGTTCAAGAATG